GGAAGCCAAAAAATGTTTAAAACCCATTTTCCAGATCTCCAATCTTTCATTTTTCTACAAATTTCACAATTAGTTGACAACGTGAAAGCGAACAACTATGTCAGCAGACCCTGGAGAGAGAACACTTTCAGGCCAGAGCCATTCCAGACTCACACTGGTTTTGTTCGAACACTGCTCGGATTGTCCCAGAAGGTGATAGCTGTGGTAGAACACCGTCACAACGAATGCCAGTGCAAAAACTTTTCCACATGCAACTTACTTTCCGCTTCGGTATACACGTGTTCTCGCTCAAGTAGAGCGAGCGGGGAAATTCCTGTTTAGACGAATTTCTATACAACGAAAAACACTTCCTTCCAGATGAGTAGATATGTTTTTTCAAGTCGTTGGGAAGAACAGTGGTGACACAGCAGACTTAGGGCTGGTTCTCATAATACTGTCTATCTGATGCAGCCTGAAGTTATGGTGCATTGCAACAATTTTTCCAAATAATCAGATTTTCCATATTTACTGAGTCAGTGTTATTGCATTTTCTTCAGCACAAGCTGGTTAGGTAAAGTTGAAAGAGGTGACCACCTACCTGTTAAATAATACGACAGAAATAACACGAACAAATGAGAGTCCGGTGCACCTATATTTAAAGTTCACAACGACAATCGGAGTGGCACAGCTTTTCCCAGAGTCACACCCAAGTACAGCCAATCGGTAAATCTTTGGCTACGTAGAAGACGGCTCCATTGATTAAATCCATTCACTCGCTGTGTCGCAAGCTGAAATTGGAAAATCAAAGACTCAAGATGAACAACTCCTTACTAACTCAGATTTGAGGTTTTTGACATTCGTAATAAGCAAATTGGTGAAACCAAGAGTTAGTTAGACGGTAGCCTGTGTTCAGAGGAACATCACTCAATGAAATGTAGACCCTTATAGGACAGTGAAAAAAAATAACAGATGCCTCAGACGGAAAGTATTTGTTGTCAGTATTTGGCAACAAATTAGCAGCTTTGAGCAAGACCGGACATACAAAAGAGAAACCACTTTGAAGCCGAAATTTTGCACACTTTTGGATAGGAGTCAAGAACCGCAGTCGATGAGACCACGTAGCTGGATTTGAAATCTCCAGTATATTGCCTGTGATCAACAGCATAACGCATTCATCCACAAATTACAACTGAAATTTTGATTTCAAGTGTACGGTCCTCTTAGAAACCGTTACGATGTATCCTTCTTAAAAGAAATGAAATGATTTCTGTACTCCACTGTCAAAGCCACATGGTCAGTAACCATTAGTGAATGGTGGTCATCATTCATGACTAATAGTGTTTTCGGAAAAGCTTGGTCACAATCGGTAACAATCGAATGCGATATTTTAGTTCTTGGGTTTTCCAAGATGGACAAACCATGAAGGGAATTTGGGACTGTTTGAAAACGAATCAAGCAACAACATTGGGATATGCTTCGTGTTCCGCCAAAAAAGAGAATTATTAGATCGGATATAGAGAACCTGGTTAGGTTACGCTGAACGCAAGACAACCGATTCCAAAACGATTGCTGTTTTTGGTTTTCGGGGAAACGTTTAGTGCAGACGTATATAAAAAAGAAGTTATAAGGACAACCTTCAGGTGAATTTGAAAAAAATTGCTTTCATGAAGGAAACTACTAACAAGGTTGCTGAAAACTCTTCGACAGCCTAAGACTGGTCCCGACCTTCTTGGGGCTCATCAGGTAGGCACAGTCCCCGAGTTTCCGTCAACCTTATGCTCCACTTGAACCCAAATCGGACCGTTTTTGAGAAATACACTCATTTGCAAATCAATTTGGCTTTCACGAGAGACTCAACGTAATCTCTCGTTTATGGTATTCTACGATTGAATGTGCTACACAAAGGCCGTATCATGTTTCAGTTGACACGATATTCGAGATATAGCAGTGTATTTGGTTTTAGTTCTGGCCCTGAAGAGAGGACATTAATGCTAATATGACGCATTTCGTGGCTCGGAGTGTCTGGATACTCGGAAATGGACCATTCACTTGTGAGCGAACAATGACTAGTCTACGTCCAGCCACAAATCCATGCGGATAAGCAATCTATGGAGGTAACTAGATTAATCTACTG